CTCAGGAAGTGGTGCAAGCTGTTTATTCCTGACTTGTATTTCAGACTGTAGTGTGAAAATGGGACCAACCTTCCCCTGTCTCTCTCCACAAAGTTCACCTTCCTTTGGCTGTGCATGTGCACTTTCATATTGAAAGATGTACTCTGTGTTGTTGATATTTGTGCCATTAGACTTCTCCAAATTCCGATCTGGTTGTGTCCTGTGGGGTCCCAGAGGTGATGAGGGGTTTTCAACCTCCAGTGCCTCCATTCCAAACCCAAGGAGGAGCAGCCCTTGAGAGCAGCGCAGCTCTGAGGGGGCAGGAGCAGCAGTCACTCTCCTTTTTCCAGAAGCGAAGTAACCAGCTGTGACCCAGGGTGCTGCTCTGACTCTGAGCCCTGCAGGCTCCCTGGTTCACCTTACAACTCTTTTTTCTACTATTGTGAATTTAGGTTTTCACTTCTAGATCAATTGAACAGATTTGAAAGATTTGGCTTTTTTTATCCATAAATGTGTAAATCTCAGTGACATCTAATCTTAATCCTAATCTTTCCTTGAAAGCATTTAGAGAAATAAATAGTAAGTTTTCATATTTTTGGAATTTAAGTGATGCATGAAGTAGACAAACATCCTATCTTCCCATGTGTAGAAAAAAAAATAGGGGCAATGGGTGGTTTGATTGCAATCACCATCCTATTTCTGAGTAACTGCATAATAAGATTTTGTTTGCCTTGTAGCCTTCTCTAATCCCAGGATGACTTTGATTTTTTTTAACTTAGATAGAAATGAAATTTTAAGATATAGTTGGGTGGCATTTGCAATGCACTCTGATCTCCCTTCCCTGCACATGTCAATTCATATTTTATGGGGTCTTATCATAAAACTAGAGCTGGTGTTACTCTGAAGCCACCATCACACTCTTTTCAGCTATGGATAATTAAATCTGTTCAAAAACTTCCTTTTTCCCCCCTGCACGAGTAATTTAGGTGTTTTAATTATTAGTGTGATAGTTATAATACCAAGCCCTGATATTATTAAACCCTTGCATTAAGATGTTAAACAAAACCCAGCATCTTCCATAAGAAACCTGATCTTCAGCAAGGAACCTCATTAGTAATACAAAGCAGAATTGCTGTTTACTCACTGATAGACACCTCTCTTTAGCAGACTTGTTGGGAAAATTTAACTCTTCTGTAACGTCCAGGACTTGAATTGATTTTGAAGACATTTTTTTCCTAAGCCTTTTCTATTGCTTTGCAAGGTTTTGTAGTACTGGGAAGAAATATGAGAGATTTAAAAGCCATATATATGACACTTTTAGATTGAATTACGTCTGAGCTTCTTAGAGTGGAAAAGGCAAATGGAAAAGGAATAGGTTTTTTCCTTCCATATTTCTTTCTCTCTGCAATCTAACAGCTCACATTAGCCAGGTCTCTTTAATACAAATGCACTTTTAAGAAACTGATCTGTGACAGGATGTTAGTCAGGCAATGGCACTGCAAGACACACAGCTGAATTATAAAGCTGAATTATAAAGCTGGCTTTCAGGAGGGAAACTTCTGGTCTTATCTGGGGATCGTAGCAGGGTCTCAGGACTGCAGGACTTGAGGGGGTCCAGGAGAGCTGACTAATCAAGAACAGTTTCCTTGGAGGGCAGCAATGATCCATTACAAAGTCCAGAAGGTTGATGAACAAACAGGGCATTCCTGAATCAGCTCAAATGTGAAAAAAGGGGCACAGAAGGAGGAAGCAGTGACAGGCTTCTTGGAGGAGCTTGGACATGATCCCTGAGTGGACAGAGATGGAGTCACTGAAGTCAAAGCTTACCTTGAGCTAAAACTATCAAGCGTTATGAAGAACCACAAGAAAACTTTATTTCACATTTGTTGACAGACAAAATCTGGGTCCCCCAGCATATGTATGCAGGAGACCTAGAGCCAAAAGACACGCTCAGAGTGGCAGATTGAACAAAATTTGGTAAAAATTTAAAAAAAACCCCATTGTTTTGTTGTTTTCAAGACTCATTTTCTTCATTGTCAAACTGATAAAGGAATATTTAATTTCAGATTGTCTTAACCCAGAATTTTTTAACTGACTCAAAGCATTCTGGTCCATTCAAAATGGCACTATTGTTCTCTGGGTTGCCTTGCTCTCCTTGTTGCCCACTTATTCAAATCCTTCCCCGACTCCTCTGAATTGGTGACAGTGTTTTAGCAGAACCACTTCCACCTGTGTGCACCAGCAGATCACAAGGAATGCTGTCATACTAAAATTCTGTATTATTTTTCTCATGAGATATTTAAGCCTGCATGTGTTGCAGTTGTGAATATACCTGCACAGATCCATTTCCCATTACCAGTAATGGGATTCCAATGCCAGCAACAGCTCCTAAAAAAAATTAATTCCCTACCTTCACAATATTTTTTTTAAATCTCCCTGTATGTTTCAAAAACCACAGAGTTCTGGAAAAGTGCTATTCTTCAAGAAGTTGCTGCATTGATAAATTTATGATGTTACCTCCCAGCAGTGCCATTGTTGAACTGCAAACCAGCAGCTTATCTGCATCTAATCAGAAAATGTCCATTTTGAGCTCTAGATTAGCAAATAATGTACAGAGCAGGTTTCTTCACTTTTCTCCTTAGGGACTCTCACAGAAGAACAAGGACTCTTGCCTTCTATTTTCAGTGAAGTCAGATCTCATTGCATTCCTTTGGGTCATGCAAGGAACTGCTGTGTCAATTCTTTTGAGACAACACTGGGAAATAATACAGTAGGATGACCTGACTAAAAATGGTAGTTTGCAGTAAGTGCTTCCAACACTGACTAAAGAAATGAATTAATCCTCTCTGCTCCCATTTGGTAACATGGGTCAGCTGCTCTGTTTAATTCATGCCCTACAAAGGCAGCTGTTTTGCTTTGATGGGCCAGGCTCTGGGGAGCTATAAAAGGCAGGGGGTTTCACCTCAGCAGTGCAGATGTGTTCCAATGGAGCTGGTGCTCACCTTATGGACTTGAGAGAGAGGTTTTTTCCAGCTGATCTCTCTTCCTGATATAAGTGATGCAAAAGGACTGCATTGGGTGTGCTGTGCAGCATGGTTTCAGTCAAATACTCTCCAGCTGCACCTGAAGGTTGCAGGTGTAGGGTACTGCTCACTGTCCCCAAAGCATGGCTATTGCAGAGCTGGAGCACATCTTAGTGTCAGTGGGCAGAGCCTCTGTGTCCAGTTCAGCACCTTAGTCTGTCTGTGTAACACTGCAGAATTGGATATCACAAAACAGCTCCTCTGCATTCCCTCTGTAATTCAGAGCAGGCTTCAGGGAGGTTTTTTAATTATGAAAGTACCTTTATGGTGTTTGGCTGTCTAGGCTGGAGGGGGTTGGATTATGGCACAGGCTCCCTTTCTCACTTGCTCGACAGGTGTAGTGTGGATACTCATGGCTGGGATTCTGATCCTGAAATAAGGTTTTTAATCAAGTTAGTGTGAAATTCAAAGTTAGTCTCAAATGTGTATTTCTATGGCATAAGGTTAAGGAATAGAGTGATAATTTTGCATGGTAACAACTTCAAAATCACCTTTGAAGTAGAATGGGACACATGCTGAGTCTCATAGCTTTGCATATGGAAAGGGTAAAAACAGTTTTTATCACTTTTTACCTAAAATTTTAAAGATAGATTAGAATTTAAATGTGTTAGCACAAAACCTGTAGGTTGTTCTGATGTGAAGAGGTTAAACTCCATGAATTTAAAAAAAGATTCATCTTCTTTAACAAGCAATCTTCAAATGTAGGCACTGTGGAGTAGTAGGTAGGAGCTTAGTACAGAGAAAATGGTGAGGGAAAAAGAGTCCTCTTCAATTCCATCCACTTATCACTCCTCCCAGCTGTTGCTGTGATTTCCTATAGTCAAGTGACACTTTAAAAATATCCTTTGTCTTCATGATTGCTAACAAATTAGAAAATTCATGAAGTAGTGCAGGAAAAGAGAGATTTTTTCAGAGCCCAGAATCTGCCACTCTGTGTTCCAGTGAGATAGTGCCAGTCTGAAATGTTTAAAAGCTGCTTAGAGAGGGATATTTACTGGGCTGTGAGGCAGTGGGACAGATTGTCCAGAGAAGCTGTGGATGCTCCATCCCTGGGAGTGTTCAAGCCAGCCTGGATGGGGCTCTGAACAAGATGGGAGAGTAGAAGGGGGGTGGAATGAGATGAGCTATCAGGTCCCTTCCAACCCACATGATTCTGTCATTCCATGATATTCCTGCTTCACTGCTACAGTCCTCTGATGGAAAGGATTGAGGGAGGAGAGGGAAAGATGAGCTGCACCCCTCCTGGAGCAGGACATGGGTTACTGTAGGCACACACTGTGTGGTAATTGGCAGTGGGCTGGCCCAGCCTCATCCCCAGTGGGTGCAGCTGTGAGCAGCAGGTGAGCAGCACTGACAGCAACAAGCATGGAGTGCCCAGGGGCACTGAGCAGCCACCAAAGGGAGCAGAGGGCACACAGGGGCAGGGCACCAACAGGAGGGGATAAAAGGCTGGGCTGGAGAACAAGAAGGGTGGATGCTTGCAGCCTTCTGAAGCGACAGGCTGTTACTCTGTGTGGGCTGAAGCTTTCTGAAATGGTGTGGTAACTCTGTGTACTGTGGCCATCTCAACTGCAACATGTGCTGTGACAGTTACCTTCCAATTGTACAACCACAATTATCAGTGGTTGTGCAATTCATTTTCATTATGGATGGTACTAGTCAGTCACATGGCACGGGACAGCCAACAGGTGATTGATATTGATTTCAGAACTGAAGAAAATGTGAACATTTCATAGCTTTTTTGAGCTCTAGGTACAATCATTGCAGTAGTACTGGAGGAGCTTAAACAGAGAATTTTACCAGTATTTGCAAATATGGGAAGATATACTGGTTTTTATTGAATGCTACTCTGTAACTCAAACTTATTTTAAAGGTTGAAAAGGCTTTTAAGTTTATTACTAGCTATATGGGTTTTTAAAAGAATAATATTTTTTCCAGGGCAAATGGATATCTGGTAACTGCTGAAACAGAAGGAAGAAATTGCAGAGGTGTCTGCTCTGTCTGGAAGGCTTCAAAAGGTGAGTAATTTTCTGTGTACTGTTTAATTTTTCTAAGCCTCTAGACAATATTGCTCTGAAGAATGTCATTGTGAAAACTCCTTGTAAGAACATTTTAATGTGTGCTGTCTTTTTATGAAATGTATTTGAATGATGCACTTACTGAAGTAGTGCTGTGAAGCTGATTAAAGATACATTCTGGAAAGTTGTCACATGAAAATTGCGGAAGAGGATGAGGAAAAAGATCATGCTTTTTAAGGAGTGGTGATCAAGATTCATCTGAATCAAGAAATATTTGATGAAGGGTGAAATTTAAGCTCTCATCATCTGGGAAAATAGCTAAGTTGTTTTTGTGAATCTGGTTAAGTTCCAAAGTCCTAATGGTGATAGAAATAAGTAGGGGAACAAACTTTGTAAGGTACATGTGTGTCTTCTCACCTGTGGGTCTTTTTATGATTTCTTCATAAGCCCTGTATTTGAAGATGTTTTGGGAAATACTATCATCTTTGAGAACACATTCCTGTCTCTGATTTCAGCCTGAGTGTGAACTCGTACCTCGTACATCTTCAGGCTCTAAGTCCAACAGAATCTGTAGTCCCTTGCTCATATAATGAATAAATCACAGCCCTCCTTTCAAGTCCATGGAGATTTTTCCTAAGTCTTGTACTCCACAAGCAAATTTGTTGGCTTCCTCAGTTCTCTCACCTGAGTTGTGCTCCTTGAAAGACTTTTCTAACTTCCTATGACTGTGTCTGTTCTCACTTGCTTTCATGTGCTCTCAGCTGCATTCTACATGGAAATAAATCCTTTATATCATGCCCAGTAAAGTGCTTTTAAACACTCAAATAGGACTTTTTTTATGACTGATTTTTACTGGTTTAGTCATATTGATTTGATTTGTGCCATTAGGACAGATGTGTAAATTTTGCACTGGCTCACGTAATGCAGGAGTTACAGACAAGAACATGTTCTGTACTCCATCAGGTAAATGTGTTGGCCATACCTTTGGCTGCTTGGCAGTTGCTGCTCTAGTGTGAAATTCTCTACAGATAATTTGGAGTTTAGCATCCTTTGCCTTGTGACTCACCATTAGAGGAAGTTTTGGAGAGTAAGGATGGGGGAAGTAATGTTGGTTAAGCAACTGCTTTGCCATATAAGTGTCAATTTAAAAGTTTACCATAGAAGTCATATAGTGCATGACAGCCTGATGGGTAAACTTTTCAGAAGCTGTCATATGTTAGTGGATGGAAGAAACCCATATATTGACTCAAAAGGTATGTTCTTTATGATGTGTTCTGTGCTACTTGATGATTTTTCCCACTGCCCCTTAGCATGTTTTCCTAAGCAATGGAAAACCAGAAAGTTTCTGTTGTTACTGCTTTCTACCCTAACAACCAGCTCACAGGACTATGTGCCCTGATTGGAGAGGCAATTCAGTTCTGTCAGGTTATCTCTGCTGTTTATCTAATTTGTTATTGACACTGGATATCTGTCACTGCAGCCTTCTCCTGAGGTTTCTTTCTCTAGTGGTCTGTTGTGTTCTACACCTGCTGTCAATCTTCCCAGCAGTGTGCTAATGCCATTGGTTTTTACTTCCTTTAGGTTTATAGTTGACATACAGGTAGAAACATCTTAAATCTTTGTTATGTGCATCCTTACACACTGGGAAAAGTTACAGTTCTTTAAATGCTTAAATTCTTTGTTGCTAGGAGGACACTAGCAGGAAATAATACTCTTTGTGCTTCCAGTTTCTTTGCTAATTATTGTTAAAAGAAGCTGGGAAGATATAAAGCTTTGGGAATTTCTGCTATTAATTTCATTTTATTTGAATGCAGTTTGATCTGTGTTATTTGGTTCAGAATGCATTTATAGCATTAATTTTCTTAGAGATTCACTGGTTACTTGGAGCTCTGAGGTTAATTGAGTAATCATTAGTAGCATGTATTGTCTGGTAAAAATGAATTAAAATTGATTGGAATCCAAAAGAAAAGCACATTCTCTTTTCATCATATGAAAGAAACAGTGTGGTTCCTCTAGTAAAGGCATCTATCAAGTGACCATCTGGTTAGCCTGTAACAAGGAGCATGCAGCAATATTTCTCTGCATTTTGAAAAAAAGCTACACGTTGCATCTAACTATAATTTATTCAAACCTCTGCCTTATGGAACCAATTTAGATTTTTCTGTTTGATGTCCATTTGAAGTCCATTGATCCTAATTTTCCTGCTAGTGTTTTTGTATGTTCTGCGAAGATTTTGTATATATCACTAGGTATAATACAAAAATTTAATTATTGTAGAGCAGGTGGTAACATTTTTGTCCAAGTTTGCTTTGGTAATAGTATTATTTTTTTTTTAATGGCTGTTTTGTGAATGTTAATTGCACTGAAAACAGTAAGAAAACGATGAAACTTCATCACAACAAGAAAATATTTCTAATGTAGGTGGCCTATAGTATCACAGAATGGATAAGGTTGGAAGAGACCACTGGAGGCAGTGCAGTCCAACTCCCTGCTCCAAGCAGGATTCTCTGAGGTGGATTATTCAAGATTGTGCTTAGACAGTTTTCACATATCTCCACAACCTCTCTATATAGTTGTACTCCATGAAAATGTAATTACAATTTGAAAAATTATAAAGGTTATCCCTGCTGGATGCAATCAGAAATAATTTTTTAATTAGAATGGACTGGTCTAGGTTTGAAAGGGAATTAGTCAGAAAGTCAGCCTGGGTAGTGAATAATATCAGTTCTTAGGGTAGTTTTAAAAAAATGTGAAAATCTTTGTAATAGAGGTGTAGGAAACAGGCAGTGTGCGCTGTCTGTCAATCATGACCATGGAACTGGGTGCAGAAGAGTCATTGCTTGGACACAAACCTCTGCACAGAAGCCTGTTTGCTCTTTCTGCTCTATTTTTCCTGACAGATTTGATAGCTGAAATTTTAAGACAATCATATTTAATATTCTCACAGAAACTAACGTGCCTTTTGTAGCAACTAACCAGGCAGCAACCTTTTAGCCATCACAGTGGCTAGCTAGAGAAAAATGTTATTAAATTTTGCATATGGCAAGAATGGAGAGAAACTGCTTTCTTCCAGAAAAAGAGAATGTTTAAATTAGACAATATAGAAACCAGGAGGAATGTCTTTCTTCAACCATGCTGTATTTATTGCAATACATATTTTTATTGTGACCATTTTCTGGTCTTTGTTATAAACATACCTGAACAGTATATGTGTCTACACATATATTCAAATATAGTGCAAATACATGTTATTCCATTTTTATGTAAATATTTTTCTATATATATGGACACAAATATAGTCTGCTATTCCTCCTTTTCCTTTCACTTTTATTAATGAAGGAGAGTTATTTTGCATTAAAACCACTAGGTTAGATAGATGCTTGATGGGCTTCCATGAAATGTGGTTTTCTTTTCCTGTTAAAAATATTATTTATGGGCAAATGTAAGCTATAAATAGCTCTTGCTATACCAGGTATGATTTGAATGAATAATCATAAAAGAGCACAGAATGGCTGCTTTAATTTGGAATGGTGGAAATGATGCAAATGCTACTGTGGTGTGCAAGTTGCTGATTTAAATCTGGGAGACAGCTTGATTTACTCTTGTCTGCAGGCTAGGAATAGCAGTGAGCTTATTTTGACTACAAATGGAAGAAGTACGACATAAAACTCACACAGTAAAACATTTTGCTTATATCCATTGGAACTTGTTTAGCTGCGTAACTCTGGCAGTTTCTTTGAATATATCGTTCCATGTGTTTGCCATCTCTGCCCGGGTTCTGTGCCACTACATTTCATCTGCGCACTTCTCTCATTTATCTTTTCCTTCTTCCCTTGACTAAACCAGAGCTCTCAATCTATCATGACACTGTGTGGATGTAAAATTACAAGAAATGACCCACACTAGACAAGTTTATCACAGCTCTTTCTGACTGAGTCATGAGGAAGGTTCTTATTTTGATTCATCTGCTAGACCCTGTGTCTATTCATTGATCTATGTGTAGCAGGGAATGTTAAGTTCCCCACAATGAAGTGTCTGATACTTAGGTTTAAGTAAGGGAAAAGAGGAATACATTTTCCCGTTCTCTAGCTATAAGTTGTGTACTACTTCATTCTAGAACTCTCAAATGCATATTACAATTTTATGCTTTAGCAATCCTTGAGTAATTGCATTATGTAAAGCAATTTATAAGATCCTGAATGAGGGGAAAATCTTGAGTCTCAACAGTGAGAAACAAAGCAGTTAAAGGTTGGGATAAGATTAAATGACCTGCATTAAAATTGCATTTAGCTACTAAAAAAGATGGGAAATTAAGGCATGCTTCCTAAAGTGGGACCTCAACTAATCACAGAAGCTTTTCCTCTGTCCTTTTGTTATATTTACAGAGGGGTAATTGTTAATTACATTGTCAGGGGCATCAATGAAAATAGTTTTTGACCTGAAGTTTGTCTTGTTTGCTATAGCCACAGTCAGTTTTTTCACCAGTTTGTTCAGGTGTTTTTCCACCAGTTTGTTACCTAAACCAGATAACTAGCTCTGGCTGGTGTGGTCTGCCATTCTGCAGGAAGAATCTGTTAGGATTCAGTCTTCTCCTGATTTCCACTGACTAGTTTGGAGCTCATGTAAGAGCTTCATAGTATAATGTATGTAGCATTCTAACATGGAGAGGCGCAGAGAGCTCCAAACTAGCCAGAGCTGGTGTTTGTTCCCAAATCTGACCTAGTAACCACAGCTAGAGCACACAGAATGTGTCCTGTGCCACGCTGGTGTTCCAGGTCACATGGGAAACTCTGCCAAGCACCTTCAATCCAGAGCCAAATGAAGCCAGGGATACATGTTCCTTTCTCCAAGGAATTGACTCAGGTATAGACTTTGCCATGGCTCCCTCCTGGGAGGTGCTGGATTCCACTAAGAGCAATGAAAACCTCAATGGAGAGTTTTCATCTTCAGGATTTATACACTTGGAAGCAGCTTGAGCCCACAGGGCAACAGATTTAATG